TTTTTTATGAAGAAATTGATGTTCAGCAGGTCTTTAAAAGGTTTTTTTACCATCATTAGTATAAAATATTGATTCATCATGAGTTACTAAAATATGTCTTTTATTATTCTTATTCAAATTAGATTCTATTAATGTCATAATATTATCATCTGAATATTTTGGCATCTATTGTTCTAATTCTGCCATTTTTGTTAAAAATTTTTGTTGATATTTAAGTACATTAGGTCTCTCATGCCCATCATAATAAATATATTTACTTTTTATATGAAATGTCTAACCAAAATGCTTTAACCATACCTGTGCAGTAGTATTTGAAATTAATTTTTTATTTTCGATTCCAATACTTAGAAAAACTTCTTGTTCAACATATGTCTTAAATTTATTTACAGTTACATCACAACCAATATTCCAAAGATATTTAGTAATCATTTGATAAATATCTTCATCATCTAATAAACTTTTAATTTTTTGATGTTTATCACGTATTGATATTAGAATTAATTGATACATAATAAAATTTTATGTCTATACTCTGATTAAAATTCTCTTTTGCCAATACTAACTGCAATCATTTTATTTACTTCTATGCATTTATAACTAACTAATCTTAAATTGATATATTGAATAATAAGTTGCAATCGATTTTTAACTTGAGAAATCAATGATTTATCTTTAATTAATATATTTAATTCTTCTAATGCTAAATTAAAAACTTCCCTTTTTATTATTTCTTCAAGACTAATTAAATCATCAGCTATAATATTAATTTGATCATTTGATAAAGTAGTAGATATAAAGTACTTAGTAATACTAGAAGAACCCTTATTTGCTAATTTTAAAGCTGATTTTTTCACCTCTTAGTTCTATCAAAATTTTCATGATAAGTTAATAAGTATATATTATTAAAAATAGCAGGATTCTTTACATTTTGACATATAATATTAAATGCAGTTAGCATAATCCTATCTACAATTTCTTCTAAATCAGTATCATTTCAAATATTATCTTCCTTCAAACTATTAGATAAATCATTATTTGATGGTAATATATCCTTCCTAGCTGCTTATAATTTTAACAGTTTGCTTTCTCATGCAGCTATCAGTTGAACATTATAGAACTTAAGGGTCATTTTACATAATTTTTTTAATTAACACTTTAAAAAAAAGGTCTAAAAAAAAAATTTAAGGGTAAAAAAAAAAAAAAATAAGATTTGAGTTTTTTTTTCTAAAAGAAAAAAAAATTCAGGTTTTTTTAGAAAAATTCAGATTTCTTTTTTTTTATTTCTTATATTTTTTTTTAAAAAAGAAAAAAATTTTGATTCTATTTTTTAGACTTAAGAATTTTATTTTAAAAGATAAAAAAAAAAAAAAAGATTTAGGTTTTCATTTTTTTTAAAAGAATAATGCTTTTTTATATTCTGAAAAGTTTCTAGAAATCAAGTATTTAATCCAAATACTCTATTGTATTACCACAGCTATAGATCACAGAATGGAGATTTCCAATACTTTTCTTTATTACAGTTACTGGCTCTTAAAACTCAAAGAAAATAAAAGAAGTTACCATATATCACACAATGATTGTTTTGATTATTTCATTTTAAGACTGTTCCATTTTAAGATTAAAAAGGGGTGATTTTGATTTAAAATTTTTGATCTAAATTACGTAATTTTATAACTTCAGCTAACTTTATAATGGTCAAATTTGTATTATAATCTTAATACATTTAATAAAATACCTGACTAATTTTATGTATCTGACGTTACAATATATTTAGTAAGAAAAGGACTCTGTTATATAAAAGGTAATGATCTAATCTATCATTTAACAGAGAGTTTATTTAAATTAATCTATTAATTAATTACTTCTATTCTTTTAAAGATATGTAATCAAAAGTGATGACTTTAAACCGTTTGCATCATATAAATTTAGTATTTGTAAAGAGTTATTTTTATCAATAGGATTTTTATATACACCTTAATTTAATGTAATAAAAGTAAGAATTAATTTTATTTTTATATTTAAGTTTAAGGTAAATAAACTGTAAACTTATAGAATATTTTGTAATTTAGTATGAGAAAATCTTAGTATTATTTAAATTTTAAATAATATTTAACAAGAATATAAATTAAAATAAAAAAAAAAATAAAATTTATTTATTTTGGCAATGCCAATTATAAAATATTTTTCTTTTTTTTTGTTATATTAATTAATTGCCTTTGAAATAAATATGGGAGGGTTTCTAGGAAAATCAGGTTCCGAGAAATTTTTGACTAAAATTAAAAACTAAAATGCAATAAAAATCTCAATTTTGCTAAAAAATTCCCGGAACCTGATTTTCCTAGCAATCAACCCATATACTAAAAAAAGTTATAAATTTTTATTGAAAGACCTTTCATGTAAATGCATTCATTTATAATAATAATAATAATATTATTATTATTATTGGAGTAATAAATGCAGTTAATAAAATCAATATTTATCAATCAAAATTTGTAAATTTAAAAAATATCCTTTTTAGTTGTAGATTCCAAAATTTCGATTAAAAATTGAATATTCGAGTATTATTTATTGAATGAATTGCATTAGTGGTTTGGTAAAAATAAAATTAGATCTGACATAATTAAATATTAAGTACAACGACCATAAGATAAATTAAATGAATAAAAAAATATATTCTCTTTAATTTTAACAAGATATTTATTTTTAACGCCATTTTTACGTTCCAATCTTCTCAGTTTCAGCAATGTTACATTTATTTCATGTCTCGCTACCGATAATGTCTTGTGCTTTAAGTAATCTTTCAGGCTTCTCATCTTCTTTAAATCGTTTCTTTATCACGTCTGACTTTACTCCATTATCATTTTTTTCCTTTCTGTTTTCTTTCTTCATTACTTGCGAATTCTCTTTTAATTAAAATTTTGCACTCCTCATTATTGTCTTTAGACTTAATTTCCTCAAACTCACGTTTAATCACACTTTCATTCTTGATATTGTTGAAATCATACTCAATACCTATTCACTCTTTATCTGGATATCATCAAAAGAATATTTCTCGCACGTAGCCAACTTTCTGGTCGATAATGAATGTGTAAAACAGCCACCGGTATTGTTGATAAACTACTTAACATTTTGTTCGAGGCCTCTCTGACGTTTTGACTTTTTTCAAAACCTGAAGAAAGTTTATCCCCATTCCAATTCCGGTTGATTCAAAAACTTGCACTTTTTGTATTCTATCTTTGCTATTACTTTCAACTTTCTCCAAATCTTTAGCTTTATAAAGTAAACGGAATGGCTCCAATTCCTCCAAATCTTGATCTCATAAATCGCGCTTCCCCCCTTAGAATAATCATCTATCCAATTTGTGACATCAAATTTAAAAAATTTTTATATCGTTGTTCATCAAAAAATTCATCTTTACTCGCTTTAACTCTCGATTTTTGAAGTTGTATACAACTGTGATCCCATTGTCCTTCAACAAATAGCTTTGCATGAAAAGATATCATGCGGGGCGCCGAATTATACAATATAATTTGTGCAAAGTTCTTCAACCGCAGCGTAGTATGTTTTATCACTACATTAGGATTTGATTAACAAAAGGATGCTAAGACACGTGAATGGCTTCTTATTTTTTTTAATTTACATACGAACCTTCGATTTTTCACCCAGATTTTGGTAAGTACATAAGAAGGTTTCTAGTGATCTGTTTATTATTGTTTCAAGTTAAATATTGGTTGGTACAATTTTAATCGGATTTTCCGTGAAAAAAAAAAAAACGTAACAAGAAATTTTCTATTAAAAAATATATATATATATATATAAGTAATGATTACGAGAATGAATTTCTTTTACTACATTCTTTTAATGGCTTTCCGTTTATTAATATCTCTAATAAAAACGAGAAAAATCATTTTTGTGAGTGATAAACGAATGCGATATTCTAGAAAAAGAATGAAATTACGTTGAATTGTATGTACTGTAAGTTACATTGGACAATGGCATCACCGCAGTAACGCTTATGAGATAGACTTTTATCGACCACAATTTTTTATATCAATGTGTGAATTACAGGAAATCTAGCATCGTTATCTTCACTACCTTGAAACGTTGGCGTTAATCGTTTATCTATTACAAGTTAGTTAATAAAATTTGAACACGCCTGTAAACAATGATCAAATTCTTTCAATACCATGTCCGGAAGCTGAATATTTCGATCGTACTCCCTCCAAATGGAGTATTTGGAGTCGGAACCATTTTTGGTCAATAGAAACGCAAAATATGAGTAAGTTGATGGCGAGGCCCATTTGATTTAAGAGTAAATTTTTATATAAAACTCGAAACCATTTTTTGAGCCACGAACGCTTCAAGTAAATTTTTTTATGGGAAATTGAAGTGGAAATTAAGTGGCGTTACTGAGTCAAAAATCAGTGCCGGAGTCACAAGTGGCTTACTGGGTTCAAGATAAAAATTTGAAGGTAAGTGTGGTGACCGGGAAGATGATTTAATCAAAGTAAAAACGTAAATTAAGACTCGACGATATGGGATCTTGCAATAGAAAAGGTGGAAACAGCCGGAAAAAATCAATTTTACTTTTATATGCCAAATATGATTTTTAGGTCAAAATATGTTCGGATTTAGCATTTACTCAATTTTTATTTTTTCCAGCCGTTTCCCCCTTTTCTATTGCAAAGGTCCCATATAATTGTCCTAGGATGAGATATACTGTTTTGGAAGTAAGATTCTTAAAGGTTGTCGGCAACGCACTTTATACTAATATTTCAAAAGTTAAATGAAAGACACTTTAAGTAACTTTTACACTTTCCGTTGTTGATATTCTAGTATATCAAATAATGGGATCAATCGTACTTCTGGAATCATAAAAAAAATTGACAGCTTTTGACTCATTTTGTTCATTAATGATGTGTTATTTGGCAGTGCAGAAGTTCGTCCTTTTATTAAAACTCACGTTGGCATAAATGGTTGATTGCTAGGAAATCAGGTTCCGGGAATTTTTTAACAAAATTGAGATTTTTTATTGCATTTTAGTTTTGATGTTACTCTTAATTTTAGTCAAAAATTTTCTCGGAACCTGATTTTCCTAGAAACCTCCCATTTCTTAATTATTAAATCATGTATATACAGTATATATGCATGAAAATGAAAATTTTGATAGTGGGCTGATCCAATAAAAATTTTTATTCCTTTAATTAAAACGAAAAATGATTATAAACACAAAACAAATGAAAAAAAAGTGATATACCAAAAATAAGAAAAAAAAAAAAAATAAAAAAAAATCTAAACGATACTTATCCAATAAATATATCTTACTATTAAAACTTTACATCTTGTGTGTTTTAATGTTTTATGTTTATTGACTATCATCCATTGACGAATCATCTAGAGGTACAAAAGGTTTAACTAGCATTTCAGAAAATTCTTTGATATCTTGCGTACCACGTATTTCTTTTGTTAAAAGAGGCATTAGTACAATATGGAAATCTTCATAGAGATCATAGATTTGATCCAAGTATTTTTGCTGCATTTTATGTCGAACTAGACATTGTTCACAATTGGAATCTAAAAAATAAATAAATAAATAAATAAGATTTAATATTTAATATATATATTTTGAATTATAAATTAGATTCATACCTTTCCGCGGGAATAATAGTTGATTTACAACGATATTATGAGTATCAATTTGATATGAAGTCAATTCCTGAATCATACGTTCGGTCTCATAAAGAGATAAGAACTCGGAAATGCATACACAGATGAATGTCGTTTTATCCTAAATATATATAAAGGAAATTAATAAAGTCAACCTCATTTTGATAATTAGACTACCATATATTCAAAGAAAATATAAAAACCCACTGGATCTTTGAATTGATTATTGACTTCCGTAATAATGGCACGCATTCCTTCAAGTTTTCCAAACATATCTTCTTGATTGGCATTCAACCCCATCATACCTGACATCTATTGGTAAATAATTTGCAAAAATGATTATTATTATTATTAATTATTATATTTTTTAAAAAAAGGTAAAAAGATTTATTTATCTTTGTCATATGATTTCTAATTAATCAACCTACTTGTTGAAAAACTGGTCCAAACCGTCCACTTAATTGAGAAATCTTTGCCAATGCTTTTTCCAAAACACTGGGAAAGCTTAAAAACCGCAACGTGTGTCCAGTGGGCGCAGTATCAAAGATAATTACTGAATATTCCATTGTTTTTACTTGCCTGTAAGGTTGGGAGATCAAATCATGATTTAAGTAAACAAGCTAATTAGAAACATAAAATGAGAGGAAAATAAAAAAGAAAAGATTTTACAAAAGAAATCATTAATAAATATTTACTTCATGACCTCAGCAAATCCCATAGCTTCGTCAACACCGGGAATGGCGAATGCAAGGTCTTGCATCATAGCTCCCATAGCGCCACCACCTTGTTGTTCAGCTAAATATTAAAACGAACCCGAAATTATTAAATCAATAACGTGAATAAACTCATTTGAATATTATGATAATAATTGAAAACATATATGTACATTGATCCAGCATCTCTTGAATCGATGATGTTGGATCGATCTCCTGCAATAATCAAATATGAAAAAAGGTGGGGGTCATTTAATCAAATGTAACTATCAAAATTTACAATTAATGTATTTCAATGAGAAAGTTCATATACCATTGCGAACAAATTTGTAAACCCGTCCACTAATGTAGCCTCTTTACTAAATTTTTGCCCAAAGGCATCGCTAAGGTTATGCGCTGGGTCAGTTGATATTAATAAAACAGATTCTCTAACTTTACTCAATTGTACAGCGAGTGAACATGAGGTGGTCGTTTTACCTGAAAAAGAAAAAAAAAAAAAAAAAAAGCGATCGGAAGGACAGAAGGAGTTGTGTTTATTGTGTTTTATATAAAAATAACAGTTTTTTGGGGAAACATAATAGTTGATAAAGAACCTTACCGACACCACCCTTCCCGCCAACGAATATCCAGTGTAAAGACTTTTGATCCAACACATTTTGTAAGGTAGGTTCGAGTTTCTCGAATTCTTCGTCAGAGGAATGCGCCATGTTGACCAAATTATGTAGAAAGATGCTTAGAATGTTGAACAAACAAGTGATTTAAAATCAAACGTCCAAGAATTTTTGTGACTGCGGGGTTTTGAAGTTGAATCTACAATCATGTGCGTTTGATCAATTTCTTCCTTAGCCAAATTTGGTTAGGTATTATCTATATATGGGGATTTTCATAGTTTCCGACCCGAAAAGATTTATTTTCAAAAAACCTTTACTCGATGTCAGATTTATTCCATAATGCACATTCTATTGGTACCTACACTATAATAGTTTGTGGTCAAACTTTCAGGTTGACAACTACAGCTCTTTACTCTGATAGCCCAAACTTTTTCACTGACGTGTTCTCCTCTCATATAGAAGAGTCGCGTACAAAGATAATGTTTATTGATGATAGAGACCCAGAGATATTTAAGGATATCGTGAGTGGTAATCTAATGTCAAATATTGCGAGTTTGAGCCTTTATTACATATTATAAAGGGAAAAATCTTAGAATTTACTTTACTTGTTGAAATAGGTAAAGCATTTGCGGGGTTATTATGTAACTCCTCGTGACGAGGTAATTTTTCTTTTTTTAACCAAAAGTATTTATATACCTACGCGACTAATTTCATCAAAATTATGTTTGAATGGTCGTAAGATTCATTATACAGACCTTTTTACCGATGCAAATTATTACAATTTATCGAAATTAAAAACACAATTACGGTCAAATTATATTGTCAATGTTGGAGGAAAAGTTTTTCGAGTTGAAAGGGAGATTTTAGAAAAGCGTGACGCACCAAATTTCTTTACATCTTTTGGTAAATATCATTAAAACTTAGATTATCATCATTGTTACTTTTTTATTTCTACTTTTTTTTTTTTTCCTTTCTAACAAAAAACCCTTTCAATTATATTTTATCAGGTTTTGGATATGGATGGGAACCATCAGGAATGCCACCAATCCCTTTGCCACCATCAATGCCACCACCTATACTTGATCGTGATCCAGAATTATTTTCTGATATCTTACGATACCTTCAAGGTTATGAGATTGGGATTAAAGATGAAATTCATAGACAAAATTTACTCAAAGATTCGCGATTTTATCATTTAAAAGGGTTAACTGAAAAGTTATTGGCATCTAGTATGACGGTGAATGGATTCGCCAAAGATGATAGCGCGAAAAATGAGATATTGTTTCGATTAAAAGATATTAGACATGCGAGCGTTTTATTACTAGAGAATAATATTGGTGATAATATGATATCAGAAGAAAGCAGCGTTTTTTCCACGGGGTCATCCACAAGTCACGTCATGTATAAAAATAAAGAAGGGGGCGTTTATGTGTTATTGGTTGAGGTACATAATGTTCATCTAATTTGTAGATATGGGGCTCCGTCATCTCCTATGACAGCAACAACTACACCCATTACAAATCCCACCACACCTATTCATTTTTCGAGAATGTTGCCATCGCGACCAACTTTGGAGCTGTCCCTATCCGATAAGGATATGAAAAAACTTAAAAACATTGCAAAATCTATTAAAGCCTCGGAAGAAATCGTTACAGGCATTCATTCACCGGATACTTGCGCATTTGAAATTGATAGCAATAAGTGTTCTTTAGAAGCGTTATCAAATACCGAAAAGTTATTACACCTGATGAAAAGTGATCATCATGGTGGTAGATATTTAACGCTTTACGTTACAAAAGCCATATTAAGATTACTCGTTAAGGATGGATGTATTGAAATGGAAATGCTTAAATGTGAAGCCTTTAGTTCAGAGAGAGGATTTAATTATAAAAGAGAATTTTTACCGGATGAAAAGAGCATAGCATTATAATAAGCGGCAAAAACGCGAATTTCTCAGATTAATGATAAATACCAAGGCATCTTAAACTATTACATTCATATCATAAATAAATATTATTGAATTTCATCATATTGACAAATCTTCATCGGGATCCTCATCATCAAAATCATCGTCTTTATCAGGTTCATAAAATATATTTCCACCGGTAACAACACTCTCATGATGATTATCTTTATATTGATCTTTAAAAAGGATTTCGACATTCCATTAATAATAATAATAATGATGATGATAATAATAAATGAATGTATTTACCTTGTATCTTAACATATGGTAGAACGAGTTCATTTTTTGCTTTTTTCTGTGATTCAGTTAATGATAAATTAAATAACAAATTCGCAGTAGTCGGATCCGGCTAATAAATGTAAAATATTATCAATGTCGAGTAAATATCTTAAGGTATGTTTAAATTACACGTACTGTATAATTCTCAGGCTCTATGTCATCTTTCATGTCTTTGACTAATTGAATTACAATATTATCGGATGATTCGGTAATATTATATGAATTGATCTATAGAAACAAAAAAAAATATCAATAATTATTTCTTCCCTTTCTCTTAAATGATTGATTTTACCTCATACAAAACTCTTCCAGATCTTTTTCTGTGTTCTATAATACAAATAGAACCTTCGGGAGCATTCATATACGCGTTAATTATCGCGTGATTTTCCGTTGTAATATAACCAGGCGAAGTTAATCCTTTGCGAAATTGTTCAGTATTTTTAATTATGATTGTAGTTGATGCTATATGGTATGACAAGGTGTTTCTTACGTTAAGATAACCCGATGTTCCGGAGGTTGGGTAATTAGGTATATCAGAATGGTATACCGCTATCACACGATTAATGTTTGTGTCTTTTCATAAGGGATATTAAAATAAATAAATTAATTAATTAATAAATAAATATAAAATCTATATATAATGTTATTATTCACTGATGATACTGAATGAGAAATTGAAATAAAGCCTTACCCAACATTGTTAAACATGATGATATACTTTGTAGAAAATTTAACGTTGATGAAGTAGAAATTAAAAGCAGAGGCGAGATCGAATCGATTATTATGGTGTAATTATAAGATGACACTAAATAAAAAGAAACATAACATTAAAAATGAAGAAGACTTAAAGGAAATTTTCATTACTAAATCATAAATACTTTTGTGAATGGTATCTTTAATGATGTTTGTAATTTCTGACAAATCATTGAAATTTTTTATGAAATTATAATTATCACATGAATCAGTAAGGGTGATATCATCTTCAAGGTCATATGCTTCAGATTTCGAGTATGCGTCAAATATCTCTATACTGTTTAGTTAAAATATATTACGATTCAAATTATCCCTCTTAAATGGTCAATCAACATTTGAAATGTCAAATACTTTTGTTGTGGGTCGATATTTTCCAAGAGCCATTTGGGAGATATTTCAAAACATAATAGTACAACTCGATGGTCTCTATCGGAAAAAAGAAAATGGTTCGATGAATATGAAATAATTGGAAAAAAAAAATATATATATATATAAAGAATTGGGTAAAACAAATACATACTGTTTTACTGCGACCTCTTTGATAAATTCTTTCAATAGTATATATCCGGACTGCGAAACTGTATCTTCTATGATAATAAAGTTTGTGGACTCTTTGCAATTTAAAAGACGTTCTAATAAAGGTGTGGTCATATTTTAAAACATTAAAAAAGGAAGAATATTTTTTTATTTATTTTTATCAGATAATCGGATTACTTAAGATGATAAATCTATCACGTGATATATGCAATATTTGCAACGTGTGAAAATGGGTTGAAAAACCTTTTGATTTTAAATTATTGATGGCAGACCAAAGCAATAATTTTACGATTTCAACTGAACACGAGTTTATTGAACCGATTAAACGAATTAACAATCAAGCTGATGTTGACAAATGGGTACGATCTGAAGCCTATTTAAGGTTAATAAAATTCACCAAATCTTTAAATGAAAGTGTCATAAATCAAGGGAATTCTAAACCTTGTCACGTCTCAGAGGTATGTGTATAGCAAAGAAAAAAAGTTGAATAGAAAGATTTATTTCCATTTCAAAGGTAAAGTAATTGATTTTGACATATTATAGATGACACAAAATGTGATCAATTTGTTAGAAACATTAACGTCATGGATTGACGAAATTCCACCTTTACCCACACCTCAAAGGTTTGGTAACAAAGCATTTCGCACATGGGTTACTCGCTTGGAACAGGTAGAGCACGATAAAAACGTATCAAGTGAAGTTTTATAAAGGTTTACACAAATTTTGACCATGACCCTTTCTTCATGATAGAATGCAGTTCGATTGCATCAAGATAGATTATTACCAACGCATGTACATGGTGCTATTGTTGAACTTGTCCCATATTTTAAAGGAGGATTTGGAAATGCTACAAGGATTGATTATGGAAGTGGACATGAATTGAGTTTTGTAACTTGGTTATGTTGTTTGAATCTAATAGGAGTATTTCAACGAGAGGATTACACAGCAATCGTGATAAAGATATTCACAAAGTGATTATTTTAATTATGGTCATTTTTTGAATGAAATAAATATATATATATATATTTATTTATTTTATGATTTAGATATTTAAGTTTGGTAAGACGATTGCAACGCGTATACATGCTTGAACCAGCTGGTAGTCATGGAGTTTGGGGATTGGATGATCATCAATTCCTTTCTTATTATTGGGGAAGCGCACAATTAAGAGGTATATCATCAGATTTTTTTTTTTATTTTCCAATTAAGAAGGTTGTATGATAAATTAAAACTTGTTAAATGGTAACCCTTGTTAGATCATCGAAATCTTAAACCAAAATCAATACTATCAGCAGATCTAGTTAATATGTATGCAGGCGAATACATTTACTTTGAGTGTATTAAATACATACACGAGGTAATAATAATATAAATCATAATCATCAAACAAACAAACAAACAAACAAACAATAATTACGTGATGTATTTTTTTTTATCAGATTAAAAGAGGGCCATTTCATGAACATTCACCATTATTACACGAGATTTCAGGAGTTATAAGTTGGACAAAGGTCAATTCAGGATTATTAAAAATGTTCATTGCAGATGTATTAAAAAAATTTCCTATAGTTCAACATGTTTTATTTGGTAGTTTACTACCCTTCAAAGAATATAATGGTATAATAGATGAAAGTAGTTTATAATTATTTTATCATTCGTTCAATGTTTGTCCAATTACCGATATTCACGCCAAATTAAAAAATAACAATGACATCCCTTTTTTGATGTAAAAAATAAATAAAAATGGTTTACTGTATCATCCTTATTTTTAAATTTTAATTTTGAAAATGATAGAGCAAAAAAAAACAACAATGAATCTTAATTAAGAAAAAAATTTTTTTTTTTAATTTAAAATTGTGGAGAAAGGATAATGGATTCGTTTTAGGTGATAATCAGTTTGTTTGTTTACCAAAAAAAAATTTTTTTCATTCGGAGATGTCCATAGAATAAAAAAAAACATTTTTGATATTTGATTGAATGCTGAACCGCAATGAAACTTCATTACCATATTTAACACTCAATATATTTTGTCAGCTATTAGGTAAGCAATTGTTTTCTTAAAAGTTTAATTGATTCTATAAATAAATTTTTTTTTAAATCAAAAAAAAAAAAATTTATATTAACTGCACAAAAAAGAATTTTCTCGTGTAACAAGCAATTTTTTTTTTTCGGTCGACTCGGATGACTCTAACGTTCATCATGTGGGATTGGGAGATTTTCACACTTGTTTATTTACATCTGTGATTTAGGGGGTATAGGGGATTTTTAGGGGATCTAACTATTGATAATGTATTATTTCAAAGCACGCAGAGGGAGAACAATCAAAAAGATTACTAAACTTTAATAGGGAAATAAGCAACTTGATCTGTGCGCATTTATTAGTTTCATGAGAATATTATTTCACCATCCAGATTTTAATTGAATTCAAGAATTTACATGATTAAAAACGAGGACTTTTTTTTTTATTAAACCAAGAATAGAAAACAAACCGATTCTTCCGAGGAGCATGATTGGTGAGGGTAAATTAACCATCCTCTTATATTGGTACGTGTAAATTGTCTCCTTTATAATAACATCATGTGAGAATGAATAATTGGTCTATTATTCATGTTATTTTGTTATTTTTTATTTTTTTTTTTTTTAATAAAGACCAATTGGAAGTAATTCAATTCCCTTTTTTAATTCTTAAAATGATTTGGTACTGACCACTCAAATTTTTTTTTTTGAAATAAAACAAAAAAAAAAAAATATATATTATTCATAAGATTATTAGATAATATTATTAGATAATAGGGTGGTGGTAAAGGAGGGTGGGGATCATTTTTGAGATCTTCCAATCAATCAATAACATTTCCACCGATATTACTCACCAACATACTAAATATACACTGATTGATGGGTCCATTCAAAGTTTAAAATTGTGGGGGAATTTCTTTAATGAGCCGTTTGGCACTTTCCGAAAAAAATCCCAACCTTAAAACAACTTCATCTATATTAATTTAGTTAGTTTATTTTTTTTTTTTTTTTATAAAAAAAAAGGTATTATCGTTACTATCATTATGTTCCTAAATGTCACTAAACCCCATCCACTTATATGAAAATGGGCTGTGTAATTCTTCACATACAAGCGGTGACACAGTTCCATGAAGAAAAAAAAAATACGCCGGTAGAATAATACGATGATCAATCATTTCCTTAAACAAATTCCTCTTTTTACATTACTTTGATACCAAAGAAATTCTTCCCTTCCAGACTTTTTATATTTTTTTTTTTTTTCTTTTAGTAGAATAGGGGGTGAAACAACGAGTCGGATATTTAATAATTACCCCCATATGATCACCACGTGATCAGCGAGCATCAAATAATAATGGAGAATAGCATGTTTACATATAATGATTATAAGCTGATGCTGTGTCACATCTTCCTTTGATATAAAATTTTGACAGGGCACAAGGATGCATATACCTTTACATGGATAAACCTTACATTAGGCGTAACCAACTAATCATCAGATTTTGAGAGAATTACGGTATTCACGGCGGATAAATTTTCATCCACGGTGTTATGCGTAGATTGTTAAAACCGCATTGTGAATGAGTCCTCAAATCGCATCCCGCCGGTAACTTTCAATCACTTTTACCATTTGGTATTGTTTGAAAGTGATACGATGATCACATGATCAAACGATGCTTTTTTCGGCTAAATTATTTATGTTGTATTTTATATTACATTCAATATCTTTTTTGTAACGTGGTTTCAAAGGGTCTTTCGGTGTTTTTTTGTTTGATGTTTGGGGACGCGCGAATACCGATATGTCTACCGTTGGGGCTAAACTTCGCCGAAGATTGGCATGTTTAAATGTGATTATTACGCAATTCGCGAGTTAGCTAATTTACCATGTTCCAGTGATAGTGTGTGTTTCTGTTACCAAAGAACCTAGGGCAACAACAAAAAAAAAAAAAAAAAAAATCGAAACATTCACGCGTATCGTGAATATATTAAGGATCTGTTGATTCGTATGAAATTTGTGTTCGCATAGAATTCTCACAAACAATAAACTTTCATGCGTGCAACCGGATTCATGAAAACTTTTAAAGAACTATTTTACCTATTCCTAAACTGTCATACAATACGGCATTCGAGAATTGGTCAATTAAAATTGTCATGCATTTTTTTTTTTATTTTTTACAAATCAAAAGTCACCTAATACAAAGTAAGAAATGCGGGAGCAAATCTTTCAAAAATGACAAGGAAGCAAGGCTGTAAACCTGTGATCATGTGCGTTTCATTGTATCATTATAAGACTTGGAGTATTAAAAAAAAAATATGAAGTCACTTCTTTATAATGTACAGTATGTGATAAGAGGTGATAAGATGATTTGATCAGATTACTATATTTTAAAATTTTCACGTTTTTCTGAATTATGTAAATATAGGATTGCAGGATTCAATCAAATCAGAAAAGCGCGTGTTTTATGAGGGAATAACCGATATCAAATCATTTTCCGAATTCTGACGTGATTCCCTCATCCGTGCCTTTTGGTGGCTTTTCACACAACTTTTATGTTTTGTTAGATCTAATCGATTAATTAACCTTACAAGTTTATTTTTCATTATCATTTTTTCCAATTAAGAAATATCAGATCAACACGTTTTCTAGCCGATTTGTTTGTTTTTTCTTTTCTTAAACTTTTGCCATTTTTCATAAATACATTCATTGCATTGATCTAACCATTCCGATGATGACAGGAAAATTCAAAAAAAAAAAATAAAAAAAAAATAATAAATGATAATAATAAATAAATAAAATAAGTAATTAGGTGCGTAAAAAAGGAAGCGAGACAAGCAATTGTCGAAATAAATGAGATATGACTCGTATTTTTCTTTTTATTTCCTGGATATGCGTTTGTGTTACACAAATGTAGGACAGTGATCACTTCTTAATCCCATTGTATAATTTGTATAGCCTGACCTCTCCCACTGTTGAAGATTGATTTATGTTTATATTAAATATGTCACCTCATCTTTCCTTTCTTTGAATTCATCATTCATACAGTCGAAATTCCATACATTTTTGGACTTTCAATCTTATCAATCTCAATAATTGATTGACCTCGCTGCCGCCCTTCGATTTTAGCCTTTTCACAAACAAAATCCCTTGTCATGAGAGCAAGCTTCCGATGTTTATTTCATAACCACTTACATAAATGAGATTACCACTTTTCATGAAAGAATTGAAAAATCGTATGTTCATAACAATACAACAATATGTGTGTGTCACATCGGAAATATAAAAATGAATTGGTTTGTAAAAACGGTAATTATATGTTTACAATTAATTTCTGAGTAAGTCCATGATTTACATATAACAATCTCTGTTTTGACAGGCAGTGAACACTTATAAATAAATAGACTACTCTACTATAATATATATAGATATGGATATAATTTACTATCATATTTATAGATTTGGTCATATTGTATAATAATATGTTGTTACTTTATAAATTTTTTTTCTATTTTTTCTTTTTTTTTTTTTTTTTTTTTTTTTTTTTTAAGGGGCTATACAATAAAATTAGGAATTTTAAAAAATTTTTTTATTAAAGTTAGTTAGTAATAATAAATAAATAAATGGTATCGTGAGCAATTTATTTTTTTTTTTTTATTTTTTTATGTATTCTATTATATTATATCGTCTAGAATAGCCTAATTTGAAAAAAAAAAAAAAAAAAAAAAAAAATTTTTTTCAATTCGTACAACTCTATAAATAGGACCATTCTTTTTACTAGTAGTTGGGGATCTCAACACTAATATAAAAAAGAAGGCAGGGACCCTCTGTATGCCAAAATTTTTTTCAAGACTCACTAGCCCTATCGATTTTTAACGATTATTTGAGTAATTATTGTTCCAGATTCGTCATCTGAATCTAGAGTCTTCACATAAAAAGTGCCCAATTTTTTCATTTCTCCCACTTTTTTTTCAACATGATTGATGTCGTCGCACATTCTGTGAGTTTGGACCAACATTTGGATTATCCTGTTCATTTTCAACAACAACAATATTTTACACCCTCACCTAGTTCTTTCGCTACCACCACGCCAAGTCTTAACCCAGCAACCACCCTAGACTTTAATTCGGCGTCATTTGGCGGTTTCGATTTAACAGGTGAACAATTTATTGCTCGACCTTTATCAGCTTGCGTCAATTTTTTCGACATACAAAATTGGCCCACCAACATTTTCGCAATGAATTTTCCACCTCAACCTTATCATCAACAATCAGCCCAGGGTCTTCCAAACTCAAGTACCTCGTCACGACATTTTAACGATATGACTTCCACCGCAACATTTCATCATCAGTACGTTGATGAAACCTCGGCTCAACAAGCGGCCATGTTGCAACCTGATGTTACAACCCCTTCGTTTGTTGAACCCTCAACAAATTATTTTGCGCTCCCCGCTACAACCTCTTCGTCTTTACATTCCGCGTCTTATTACTCTCCTCCTTCATCATTACCTCCTCAGGCGAATCCTGTAATTTCTAATTTGGAGACCGAAACTAATAATCTTCCCGGCTCTCGAAATACCGGCGGTTACATTGGAAATTTTCAATCTCAATCGCATCCTCGCTTGAGGATGACCACCAATAATCCTACCGCTCAATTGATCAACGCTGGTCCCGATTTCACCCCCAGTCATCATTACTTACCTCAGAGGGAGATCTATCAAGGTGCCGTTCCCACTTCGATTGGAAGAGTTAACCACCAAGCACACCATCAAAAAACAATTTCGGAGATCGGTGCGAGTAACAATTACTCGAGACAATCAAATGTTACTGCGACCTCTTTGCCCGTCACGGGCACAACTTCTATCGCTCCTCAAATGTACATGCCACCGACTTCATACGCTCAAGATTCAAACAACAACAATAATACCGGTAATAATAATAATAATAATAATAATAATAATAATAATAATACCACCATGCATTTACCATTGTTTGAGAGCAATTCCCCATCATCATCATCGGGGGTTTGGTCAACGAAAACTTCTTCCGCTCAAACATCTCCATCACTCGAGACCGTCGCGTCACCAACAACGCCAACATATTACAGTGGTCCCCCAAGGAGTTATTACTCTCGCCTGCCTCTTTACGACAGGCCATTCAAGTGCGATCAATGTCCACAGAGTAAGCATAAGATCAGAAAATGAATTCCCTTAAAAGTTTTATTTTTTTTTATTTTGATTTGTGACTAATCTATTTTAAATTTTTTTTTATTTCAATTAAGGTTTCAATCGTAATCACGATTTGAAACGCCACAAGCGCATACACCTGGCCGTCAAACCTTACCCATGCCAGTGTTGCGATAAACAATTTTCAAGAAAGGATGCGCTAAAAAGGCACATCCTTGTCAAGGGATGCAATAACACGAAGAATAATAAAAAGACGACTTCTCCAAACACTGGAGATGATAAAAAAGTTGAGGAATCTTCGACAAAACAAAAATATACTTCATCGCCGATAGAAAGTTACGTAAATGGTGGAAATTCTGTGAAGAGTGAATCGACAAAAGAAGGTGTTTACAATAATACTTATGGAAATTCGTCGATATAACAACCATATAACACCCACAAAAAAAAAAAAAAAAACAAAATAAAACAAAATAAAATAAAATACATCGTGATTAACTCAAAAGGATATAACTTTATTTATATAAAAAAAAAAAAAAAACAAAAAAAATCCCATAAGATAACAAATTAAGGTTTCAAATTTTCCTGTAGATAGAGCATTTATATTCCGTTTAATATGTAAAAGGAAAGATTCGTGTATATATTTACTCTCTCATCTTTTTTAAAAATACCCTCCCAAAAGGAGGTCTTTTGATCCCTTTTTTTTTTCTAATTTTTTATGTTTTATGTACATAGTATCTTGTTTATGATCTTAATTTTTTTTTTTTCTTTTTTTATTATTTTTAATAATGCGCGCATCTTAAGTTTTTGCCAACCAACTTTTTTTTCGAACACGTTTTTTACAATATGATTCGTTCTTTACTTTCTTCTCTCTTATAGATACACACATATATGTATATTTTTTTAATAATTTAAAATTCGTTTTAAAAAAAAAATTATGTCACAAAATAAAATTTTAATCTTTAATTAATTAATAAAAATAAAAAAAAAAAAAAATCAAAAATCAAAATTTTATCATCAAACGTTAAACTTTGTACATTGTATTGGAAATGCTTTGTTGGTTGCATCGAAAAATTTTGTGATGGTTGATTTGTATTCAGTTTATTATTAGATTAATAGAATTCTTAGATTATTAGTCAAGAATAAAATAAAAGAATAAATGATAAACAAGTAATCCTTTGAATTGACTTTCAAAGAAACAAAGAAATATTATTTTAGAAACACAACATATTTATTTGTTGTTTTTTTTTTTCGAATTCATCATGACAATAAAAGTTGCGAAACTCGTTGATCAAAACCATCAAAACCAATTTGTACAAGAATAACATATGAGAAATAGAATAATAAGTAACAACAAGGACAAGGATTAACCATTGTTGGAAGTTATTTTTATTTGGTTCAAACGTTGTGAATTCTGTTAAAACTTGTGCTAAAACTTGTGTCAAGTCGGATAGACGGACATTTTATTCCGATGGTGACACGATAAAAATCTAGTTCTTTTCTTGATTTCTTCTAGAATCTTTCGGGTTTTTTCCTTAATGTGACAGAGATTTTTTGGCGGTTTTTTTTCTTTTTTTTTTTTAATAAAAAAGAAGTTCAAAAAGAATTAAATCTGCGGTTTGGCTGTTTAAACGGCGAAACATTCGCATGACTGCAAAAAAAAAACTTGCTGACAAAAAAGGTTTGATAATGGAGCATTTTGGGTAAAAGAGATCGTACACTTTATTTTAAAGAAGGCGTAAAAAATGGCAAACCAATATAATCCATAAAAAAAAATAATAATAATTCAAATGGCACATTACCCTCAATATCCAAAAATGAAAATGGTTCGATATTTTTCATCCACAAGAAAGGAAATTCCTAAAAAGTAAAATGCTTAGAACGGAGATTTCCGTCGGTTTAAAAAAGGAATAATCTAGACAATTATAAACATTTAAAATTGGTTAGTTGTCTCACCAGATTGGTACATTCAATTTGAATCTTATTAAAATATAAATTTAGATGAATACAAATATTGTCAATTCATTGTTCATTGATTCCGACCAACCGAACACAAGAAATCTGCCAGGTCATACCCCAATTTTTGTTTATTAATTTGGTCCCTCCCTTTTTTTTTTATTCTGCTTAATAATTAAACCTTAAATTTGTCCACAACATTTTTGTTTAGTAAAAAAAATTAAATACCAAGCAAGCCTTTTGACAAGAAAGGATATCATAGCCATTGTAGAAAATCGAACATTTTTTTTTTTTTGATCATCTCAGATTATTTGTTTATTGTTGTGTTTATCTGTCTCTGCCACTTTGTTCATTTTAAGAAACATTATTAAATTCCTGTATTGACTTCTTTTTTTGAATTCGGGTATTACATTTAATTTAAAGTTGGCGTTTGTAATATTTAATTACGGATTAAATATACCAATTTCCATCAATTACCTAATAAAGTTTCAGGAACTGCTTCTTATTATATAAATTCCATATTGGTCCGTGTGTTTGTTTATTTTTATTTTAATAATCGGTACGTCACGTGAACCGAACGCGTCGCTGATTTGATCAAAAGATTTACAATGTTCTATGCAAACTCATTTGAATTCAATGAATCAACTTTGTCGTTTGGGGAACGTTCTGTTTACATTTGAGGCAATGCTGTAAAAACTAGACAGAGTGAGCGCTTGCACAATAGAATTTGTCAAGCGGTTCAACTTTAACGATAAAAAAGTTCCATTCATCATTTTGGATACCCACATTAGATACTTTTGCGTTCACTTATGCGCTATTTTGATTTGTCATTCTTTATTTTGTCTTAATTATTAGTAATTAAACATCCTTATCAAGTCCCATGCTGATTGATACTAATCGTTCCATTAAAACCCTAACCCTAATGAAAATTATCTTTTTAAATTCGTATGATAGTTTGATTCATCCTCCTGGGAATGAGTGAATTTCACGTTTTCTTGTGACTATACTACATGGGGAATTATTTATTAGATAAATCATTAGGTCATTTTCCTTTGACGCTAACAAAATCACATGCTGACCATGTGATTAACTTAATTTTCTAAAAAATACTTCCTTATTAATTGATATTTTTATGGTATTTAACTCTAATCAAAAAAGTCAGATTATATTTGAAATTACCAAACCAAAGATATCTTTAAATAAAAGCAATATTTTTGAACTTTACAAAATTAAGAATTACTGCATTATTAAATTAAAAAAATTTAAATTATACTTATCCTATGTTTAAATTTCATTGGAACTTTTTTATAACTAATATTAAATTTATTCAATAATATTATTTATATAAGTTTATATAAAAAATTACATTTTATAATAAATAAAATTTTCAGTAATATATATGGGACCTTTGCAATAGAAAAGGGGAAAACGGCTGGAAAAAATAAAAATTGAGTTAATGCTAAATCTGAACATATTTTGACTTAAAAATCATATTTAGCATATAAAAGTAAAATTGATTTTTTCTGGCAGTTTCCTCCCTTTCTATTGCAAAGGTCTCATATATTTATATAGATCATTTTTAAGTCTGAATTGATACTAAATTGTTTTATCTAATTGAAGTCAATCTAAAACATACAATTCTGTTATAAATAGTATCAAAATTAACATAAATTTAGTCATCTGATTTCTAGCCAATTTGAATTATTTTGACCCATTATTAATTTAATCAAATAATAAAATATTCTTAATTAAAAGATTAATAATATGAGAGTTACATTTAAGACAAATAATATTAGAATAATTTTCTTCAATATTTCTCTATACTACTTTCATTATATTAGTTATATCTGAATAAATACTGAAAACTTTAAATATCAATAATATTTATTTGTTGAATTATTCTACTATATAAAATTTTTTATACTTCAGTGTAAATTGTCAAATTACTAATTAAATTGTATTTTGACAAATGAATTATATTTTAACAAATGTAATTATTTTATTAATACAGTTAATTTTCTATAAATACATCTTTTATAAATACATATCCTTTATAAATGCCTAGTCCTAACTTGTATCTTAATGCTAAATATATATTTTTTATATATACAGTCTAACAAATTCTATGTCTTAAACCTCAACTTCACTATAAGCTATAGTGAAAATTTTAAGAAATTTGATTAGTCAATTCACTAAAACAAGAGTATTTTTATTATATTTATTCAAAAAATTTATTATATCAAGAATTTGCTATATTAAAAATTAACTATATACTCTTTGTAAATGCATTCTTTATTAAAAAAGTTTATATAGTTTACTTATAAATTTTTTTATATATCTTAATATTAGATTAATATTATATAGATTTATATATATTCTATTAATGCATATTCTTTTTAAATGCATTCTTATACTTAGTCTCTAAAGGAGTACATTTATAAGAAGTTAACTATAATTTATAATAAATTTCAAATTAATATAATTAATTTAACATCATTAAAATTAATTAACGCTAAAATATAAAAATTTTATTTGAAAAAGTTATATCAAAAATTAATTTGAAAATACAAATAATAAAATTATATACTGATTCTTTATTAATGTTTTGAATTATTTAAAAAATTATTATTTTTAAAATTTGTTCATTTACTTGTATCTTTACATTTTTATAAACTTCATCTAATAATTAAATAACAATTTTTTTCTATTTGAAAATTTAAAAATATATAAAAAAATTAAATATCAAATAGTTATCAACAAAGTTAAATAGTATTTCAACTAAATATAATATTTAAACTAATAAAAATTTAAGAGTTTCTTATTTTTCTTTTTTTTTATTATTAACAAATTATCTAATTTAATTTATTTTTAAATCTATTTACTTAATAAAGAGATATATTTATATTAATTAAAAGGTATTCTATAATATTAAAAAATATACAGTCAACTCTTGTTATAACGAACTCTATGTTCTAGACCTCATTTTTGCTATAAGGCTATAGTGAAGATTTTAAGAGATTTGATTGGCTAATTTACTATAACAAGAGTATTTTTATTATATTTATTCAAAAAATTTTTATATCAAGAGTTTGCTATATCAAGAGTTAACTGTAAAAAGTTACTGTGATTCTTTAATATAATTATATCAAAAAATCACTACTAATTTAGATTATATTATGATAATAACTTTATAACTTAATAGTAATTTATAGTCTAATAATAATTTAATAACTTTATAATCTAATAGTATTTTTATAATCTAATGATAATTTTATAGTTTAATAATTTAATAATTTTATAATCTAATATTATTTTCTATTAATGATTTATTTAAAGATATAATTTAATAGTGACTTTATAATTTACTAGTATCATTATAATTTATTTTTTTAGTTATCTTTATATTTCTCTAATTATTATTTTAATTAATTTTTATTATATTTATTTTATATAATGATATAATCTAAA